TGATCTGAGTTTCTCAGGAGAGTCAGGCTTTGTGCCAAACAAAGTGTCCACTCCCCAGAGCCTTGGCCGGAATACCCCCACTCCAGCAGTGCCTGGGAAATTCTACTCTCGTCAAGGATATCAATTCCTGGTGGGATATTGAATTTTAAGGAAGAGTCAGAGCTCCAGGAGCTGAGGGGCACTGAGGCAAGGTTGACCAGGCTGCGTGCTAACTGGAGGTGGGGAGGAGCACTCAGTGGTCAGGGACTCATACATGGGCTGCCATATCTTGGCCCTGCTTCTGCCCAGGTGTCAGGCTCTACCTGCACCGACCCAGAGCACAAGCGCTGGAGTTGTGGGGAGTCCAGTCCTATCTTTCAATGGAGAAACAGAGGCCTAGGGAGGGGAAGAGACATTCAGGCAGTGAGATGATCACCAAAGCTGGCATGGGGTCCTAAGCCTAGGCCAAGTTCTCTCAGAAACCCAGAGTGCGGCAGGGTTAGCACTCGAGGTTTTTGCGGGTGGGATGGCTCAAAGTCTGCCTTTAACTTTTATTTTGCCCAGCATGCTTCCTGTCGGGCATCTGATAGAGTGATTACCAAGGCACTGTGAGCATCAAGACCTTAGGAGTCTTGGCTTAGAGATGAGTTCCACAGCCCCAGGCCTCTTCTAGGGGCTCACTTCCCTCAAACAAGCTGGCACCAATGTGCCTCAGGACACACAGGGCAGCAGGTGCCAGAGCAGAGCTGGGATTCCAGCCGCAGCTGAGGATGGGCTGGCCGAGCTGCTTTCTGAGATGTGTGTGTCCGCACTTGGACCACAGCCAGGCCTGGCGGTCGGGGCGGGGGTGGGGGAGGAGGGAACTTAAAATTGTGGAAAACAAGGCTTTGTAAGGGGGCCTGTCTTCCTTGGCATAGGCTTTCTCCCCTTGGCCCAGCACTCCCAGCCCAGGCCGTGCAGAATGCCAGTGGAAGCACCCAAGAGGTAGTCTTAATGAGTGCAGACATGAGTACTGGTGGCCTACGGCTAGTTCCCAACAGTGGGGCTTTGTGTAGCTGGAGTCTGATGTTCGGGTCTGACGGCAGCAGCTGCTTGTACTTCTGCAGTCTTCCAATAGCCATTGGTTTTTCTCTAAAGAAACTCGTTCATGCCTTTGTTTTCCTGAGTACAGCTTCAGATCTCTTGATCTAGCCCAGGCCTTTTCCAGGAAGCTTTCTATACCTTCAGAGCTTCCCTCTTATCTGAGCCAAGCTGCTGGCCCCTATCCTAATTTAATCCCTTCATTTTCTGGTGTGGGAAATGAGGTCCAGAGAGGTAAAGTGAGTTGCCCAACGTCACCCAGCTAGGAAGTTTTCTCCTCAACTTGCTAGCTTATGAATGCCCCTGATTTCTTTAAGCAATGGCACCCCCCCTTCCATCCTTCAGTCCACCAGTGCCAAATATCCAATAACATCTCCGATAGCCACACCATGTTTTCTGAGCTGGTTCTCATCTGCATTCCTAGGCCCTTCTGCTAAGTTCTAACTTGATCCGAACCATGACCACTGGTCACAGATCAGACTGAAATAGGGTAGGCAGGCTCTGGCCCTTTTACCAAGAGAGAGAGCCATGTTGTACATGGGCCTCAGTTTTGTCTAAATTGTATTCAGGCCAGTCAGCTTGCCCTGGGGGAAGGCTCTTGGAAGTCAGGGAGAGGCATGCTTCTGGAAACTTCCACAGAAGCCTGACCAGCTCAGACCTGTATTAGCTCAGGAAATCCCTACCAACTCCTCACCTTCTAAGCATCTACTTCTCCTTTGCTACTCTGACCCTTCTGAGCCTCTAATGCCTCTAAAGCTGCTGGGGCATCTGTCCCCACAGCATCGCACCTGCATGCCCAGCATAGAACTGGCTCAGGCCTGGGCTGGGCCTCTCCCCAGGCCCTCCCACTTTCCTCAGCCCCAGACAAGGCTCTACTGCCCCATAAAGGCCACCAGGCCTCTTCCCTTCCACCTTTCCAGCAGATGATCCCTGGATAATTTATGCAGCAAATCCTCTTTAATCTTTAATCTAGGGTCCTGCAGGAAGGGAACCTCTTGTCTCTTCTTCATAGCTTGGGTAAAGGTATAGAACGTCCGACATTCTACCTTAGGAGGTGTGGAGTGGGAAGGGACAATCCTATAACTTGGACATAAGCCGGGTTCATTTCCTGCAAACCTTTGGTAACTAATGGTTTCTCTTCCAACTCGTGGGGCAAACACCCTCCCCTTCCAAAAACATCTCCTGGGGATGCCAGGTGGGCCCTTCCTTTTTCCCTGGGGATTTGCTCAAGCCCCCACCGTGATGTGCTGCCTGAACAGGCCACTCTTAGGGGCCGAGTAAGGAAGAGCCAGGTGACCAGTGCAGCGCTGTCCTGAGCGCCTCTGGGCACCCTGCGCTTCCCGGGGTCTCGGTCTGCAAGGCCCACCCACTACCCACCACCCACCACCCACCACCCACCTCGGGCCGCCCGCACCCTGCAGGCGCCGGCGATCTCGGAGGGCAGGCCCCGCCCCAGGGCCGGCTCGCCCCGCCCCCGCCGCCAGGCCCCGCCCCCGGCCAGTCCGCACTCAGGGCGGCGGGCGGGGGCCGGCTGTCCGGCGAGGTCGGCTCGCAGCTCCCGCCGCGGGTCGCTCGGGCGCTGTCCAGGCGGAGCTGGCCCGGCCCGGGCTGCAGCCATGGTAAGGCGCGCGGGCGCGGGGCAGGGCCGGGGCGCGCAGGGCCCGCTGCTCCCGGCGGCTCCGCGGGGACTCGCGGCGCAGCAGTCCCGGCTGTGCGGGGCGGGAGGCGCTGTCTCCGGCTGCGGGCACAGGCGGGCACTGCTGGTGGACATCTCTGTGTCGCCGCTTCCAAGTTTCTCCCTCTGATCCGAGCAGCGACGGAGCGGGCCGCGAGCCCCGGGATGCTGCCGGTGTTCTTGGACCGAGGGGTGGGGGGTGGGTCGGTGCTGAGCGGGGTTGGGGGGGGCCGCCAGCAGAGACGCGCTTGTTGGGCTGGGGAGGGCGCGTCAGCGACAGGCGGAGGTGAGGGTCCCCCCCCCCACCTTGCCTGGGTCAACTCTTACCCGGCTGACCCCTCCTCACCCACCTACCCTGGGTTCAGGGGCCAGTACCAACTTCCTTTGGAAAACACACAGAGGAGGCCTACAAAGACCGCCTGCCTCCCCAGGAGGGATGGTGAGACGCTTGGGCCCTCCTTCCTGCAGCCTGGCACAGAGCAGCTTCCAGGCTCTTCCCACTGCGCGCTCTGCCCGGGGACCCCTGAGAGAGGGAAGCCCAGCCCACCATCCTACCCGTGGGATTAGCTCTGTCCCTCTGCCTCTGAGACAGGAACCATGGGGAAGCTTCCTCCTGCTGCATCCTACACTCCCCCACTCCCAAATCAGGTCCCTCTGCAGCAGTGGCGGGTGGGGGAGCTCATTCCTGCCACCTGTCTGGAGGAGAAATAGTCACCCCGCCAGCCTCCTGGGGCCCCCAGGTGGGAAGTTTTGATGTCTGACTGTAAGGGTGCCAGCCCCCCGCCATCCCTGCCAGAGCCTGCAACAGACACAGTATGCAGGGGGTCAGGGCCTCCAGGCCCCATGCAAGCCTCTTCTCCCAGTTTGGAAGCCCCCCAGCCTTTGCCCTTGGCACTGGGAGGCGCAGGCTGTTACAGAAGGAGGAGATCTGTGACCAGCCTGTGGGGCAGGATGCTGGCTGTGGGCAGCCTCCAGAAGGGAACTCCCTGGGCCCACTGGAATCAGAAGCTTCCAAGTCTGGAAAGGCCAACATTTTGGGCTTTTGTCTTTCAAGCTGTGTCCAGGCTGAGGCCCAAGCCTTGGCTAGGAAGTCTTGGTGACCTTGTGACCTTCCCTAGAGGGGGGTTCCTGGGAGAGGCCAAGTGGTGCTTGTCTTTATCCCTGCCCCGCTTCTCCCCACATGGGTACGGACACAGTGATTGTTCCAGTGATGGAAGCCTGGGGGAGCACTGATTGTCCCCAGTGCCAAGCCCAACAGGGACCAAGAGGGGCTTTTTCTGCCACACACTGAGTCCAGTTCAGCTGAGGTCTCCGTGCTTTCAGCTTGGCTGAAGCCACCCTGTTCCTCTCTTAATTAAAGACACCCCACCACCACCAGAGTCCTCAGCTGTAGGCCCTTGAGGACCAGTTCTTCGGCTGATTGGTTCATGTCAAGCCAGACTCTTCTGGAAGGGTTCTCTCTATGAAAGGAGATCAGTTTCCCAGCTACTTTGGAGGCAGTGGATACAGTGGGGAGAGCTCCCCAGCCCAGGAGACCAATGGGGTTTTAGTTTGCGAGGGAAAAGAATGACAGGTCAACATTATTAATAATCCTGTGACTTGAAATGTACCTTCTCTTCTCAGGTTCAGAACAGCTTGAGGTATCTCTCCCCAGCCTTCCTGGGAGGCAAGACAGGCCCATTCACAATTGGACATTAAGGCCCTGAAATTAAGATAATATTCAAAATCACAGAGGGTGTTTTTGGCCCACCCAGAAACACTGGTCTTCTGACACCACGTGCACACTCCCAGCCAGGCCCCTCAGTCTGTCTCCCACCTAATTCACCAAACTCCTAGCTCTGAAGCCTCTGGGATACAGCCTCCCTCTGGCCCAAACTCATGCCCCTCAGAGACCCAGTGCTAGCAGCATCCCCACTGACTCTCTGGAAGCAGTGGGGTGATGGAAGTGATATAGGTCCCCATGAGTCACAGGTCAGGTATCCTAGGGTGTGGCTGGGACTCTGCAAGGAAATCCAGGGGCAGATTTTTGAAGACAGTGGGGTTCCCTGCTGGGAAAACAAAAAGGGACACTTGGGAAGAAAAGCAGGGCTCTTCCCATGAGAACATATTTCCAAGGGATTCTAAGGCCTCCCACCCTACTTCAGCACTGCTTAGAGTTAAGGTGAAAGAGATTGGAGTCCTTTGGGAGTGGAGTCTCCTGGGCGGCTGTCCCCATGTACTGATGGGCCAGGTCACCTTGGGGACAGCTCAACCACCCTCTGGCAGGCCTCGGGGTCCTTGGGGGTTAATAGAAGAGGCCAGGTTGATCAAGAGCCTGTGCTGCAGACAGACTTGGGAGGCTGGTGCTGTGCCCACCGGGGTAGGCAGTGGGCAGGCGTCATGGGACCGCCAATCAGAGGAGGAGGGGACTGCAGAGAAACAAGAGTGATCCTGCTGCAGCTGAGCTGGCCTTGGAGGGTGGGAGCCAAGGGAAAGGCAGGAGGAGGGGGTGGGGAACGACATTCCACAGGCTTTTTTGGCCCCTGACAAAGACAGGGGGGGTCAAAGAGAAAGGGAAAGGAGCAAGCCGCGAAGCTGGATTACAACAAGAGCATCGAGACCAGGCTGTTTCAGTGTGCGAGGAACTTTGCCTGGGAGATAAAATTAGACCTAGAGCTTGCCGACAGGGTGTCCGAAGCGTGGGACATGGACCGTTCACTGGGATGGCAAGGCAGTTCTGTCCCTGAGGACAGGACTGAAGCTGGGGTAAGGTGCTATTCTGGGAGGTGGGGGGGACCTGGCCTGTCTCCACCCCTGCCTTGATGGGGATTGGGGCTCAAAGTCAAAAAATGATTTGGTCACTGTGAGTGCTGGGGGTGGGGGAGGAGAGATAGGAGGTGAAGACCCTAGTGTCCTGACTCCTTGTCTAGAGCCCCTGTAGGCCCCTTCCTATGAGCAGCCAAGACAGGCAGGGAACCCAGGAATGCTGGGTTCCTGGTGACTATTGGAAGACTGGGGATGGTAGGGGTCCCATCAGTGTCTTCCTTTCTCCCTTAACTGCTGCCCCTCTGCTCAGTGCCCTTGGGGAAACCAGGTGGAGCACAGTTTTCTCTCTTTCACCGGGACCAAGTGCTGGGTCACTGTGGGGTTATGCCAGAGGCAGGATTTCCTGGAATTCCCCAGCCTCTAGCTGCCAGAAAACAAGACCTGCTACACCCCTCCTCCCACCCCCAGCCCTATCCCTTCTCTGTTGCCATATAATGAATTCTCCAAGCCGGGACACTTTGAGAGTGAAAAGGGGCACACTTAATCACTATGCTAGGGCAACGAACAAACTAGGATGGACAGTTACTCCACTGGGACCCCACAAATATTATGGGTGAGAAAAGCCCATTAGGCTTGTTTCAGGACAGCCTCTTTTGGTCACTAAGCCCCCACATGCTGCTTCCAGTTCCAGGCTAAAGGGCCTCTCTCCTTCCCTCTGTCCAGGTGGGCCCTGGAGACTGTGGCTACAAGCAGGTGTGGGGACGTGAGAGGAGACAGCCTAGAGGTAGTTCTTAGGGGACTTTTCCCTGCAACCTCCTGCTGTCTCAGTCCCTACCCTCTGGCATAAACCTGACAATGTGCCTGTCTGCCTCCCTCAGTTCTTCCCTACGGAAACTGGGGACCTGCAGAGGACTGTGGCCATCTTGTCTCCCCTCACCCGGGCCGGGACTCCACAGTGGTCTGGGATAGCCCCCACTGGCTTGGCCAATCCCCAGGGAGTGAGTCAGCTGCTGAAGTCAGCCCTTGTCCATTGTCTGGAGGTGGCATGTGGGTATTGTGAGGCAGAGCTGAGCCCAGCACTGCCAGGCACTCCACAAAGGGGGCTGGCTCCCAAAGGAGAGAGGAAGTTTTTGGGTCTAGAGTGGATGGCAGGAGTGGGGGGGAGCGGCCTCTCTTCCAAGTTGGAGATGGGGGGGAACAGGTCTCTACAGAGGAGCTGGCCATTCTTTGCCTACCACCCCTGTGGTTCAGGGGCTCAGGCCAGATCCCCTCCTGCACTGCTGGCTGGAGCTTACCCCAGGCAGAGGGGGTGAGAGACAACCGATGGGCGCTTCCTCCCATTTGTTCCTCCCAGTTAGGGGCTGTCAGCAGCCTAGAGTCCTCCCATCTTCCCTCACTGGGTCCCTCCTGGCTCCCTTCCACCCCGCGCTCAGCATCCACTGGCAGGTTTAACCCTCTGTCCTGGGCCTCGGCACAGGTTCCGGTGTGGCACGGTGTCTGGGTCAGGGGGGTCACATCAGCTGTGCTGAGCTCTTTGCAGTGAGCACCTCCAGCAGAGTCTGTCCCTCCATCCCAGAGCTCACTGACCTGCACTGACGGCAGGCACAGAGCCCCTGGCCAGCCCCTGATTTACCTGGGCCGGCAGCTCCCTGCACCCCACCCTACTTTCCTCCTGCCCCTGCCCCATTCTGACTGCCTGCACTCCCCTTGAATCCGGACCCACGTCCTCCTCTCAGCTCTCATGCCTCTATTGCTCCCCCTTATTCAGTCTGGCTTGCTGGCCGTTAGGGCAGGCCCTGGCCCCTGGCTTGGCCCAACCCCCAGCAAGGGCAGGGCGGTGAGCACGCTGTTGAGAGGGAGCACCAGGACTGGAGCTCCTCAGATCCCAACAGCAGTTGCGAGGACTTCGGGGGCTGCCTGGGGCTGCTCCTGGATCTTGGGGTCCCTCCTGGGGTCTCAGCTGGGGTGGGGCACAGGAGCAGGTGAGGGAGGGGGCTTCCTCTGCTTGGCTGCTAGTGCAGTTTCTTTCCCTTCTAACCACAAGCGCTTTCCTCTCTCTCCCTCTCACCTCTCCGGTCTTCCTCCTTCATTCTCCCCTTCGTGCCACCTACCTGCCCACCCCACCCCACCTCCAACCCCCAGATCAAGCACTTCCTGGAGGACACGGATGATGCAGAACTGAACAAGTTCGTGAAGGATTTCCCAGGAAGCGAGAACTGCCACCAACCAGAGGCCAAGACCTGGGGGTCCAGGCCCCAAGTCCTGGAGCCAAGGCCCCAGGCGCCGGACCTCTACCAGGATGACCTGGAGTTCAGACCCCCCTCCTGGCCCCAGGCCTCTGACAGCCAGCAGTATTGCTCCGCCTCGGCCCCTCTCAGCCCCTCAGCCCGGCCCCGCAGCCCCTGGGGCAAGCTTGATCCCTATGACTCCTCTGAGGTAGAGCCTCCAGCCCTGCCTTGGCTTTTCAGAGGGCTGGTGCAGGAAGACCCAGGGAGGGAGCAGAGAGATCCCGAATGTATGTACATGTATGTGCGCGTGTGTGTGCATAGGTGTGCGCACACGCATGCGTGCATGATGAGCTGGGGCCTCTCTGTCCTGTGTCAGCCCTGGCTCCGTGGTGTTGATGCTCATGTGCATTGGAAACTGACTATTAGCAGGCCAGGAGCCTAGCTGGTGGCCCCAGAGGGGGCCTCGAAGGAGTCTGACAATGCTCCTCTAGGGCTGGGGCAAAGACCTAGGAGGGAGGGAGAAGGCTGGTGTTGGGTCCTGGGGCCCCTCCTGCCTCCCGCTCTGATGCACTCTGCCTTCCTGTCCATTAGGACGACAAGGAGTATGTGGGCTTTGCAACCCTCCCCAATCAAGTTCACCGGAAGTCCGTGAAGAAGGGCTTTGACTTTACCCTCATGGTGGCAGGTAGAGCAGGGGAAGGGCTGGGCTGGGTAGGGGTGTTGCAGGCGGGGATGGTATGTATGTGGGGAGGGGGTGTGGGTAAGGAAGGAAAAAGCAGCCAGTGGCTGTGCCTTTTGGCAAAATAACCAGGAGCCGTGGGTGGCCAAAAGTGTGTATGTGGGAGGCAGGGGGGTGTTGAAGTGGTACAAAGAACACTTGATCAACAGTTTTCTAATATTTGCCTTTTTCTGTGTGACCTTGGGCAACCTCTTACCCTCGCTGGGCCTCATTCAAATAAGAAGGCTGGACAAGCTGTTCTCGCTGACTCCTTCCAGCTCTAATGTGCTATGACCTTCCCAATGTCCCTTCCCAATGTGTCTCTTCCCAATTAGATAAGAAAGCAGCTCCCTCCACACCTTGTTCTAGTGGGGTTGCCTCTTGGCCATAGCTCTTCTACATATCTTCTGATCATATCTTCTGTCCTCTCTCCCCTTCAGGAGAGTCTGGCCTGGGGAAATCCACTCTTGTCAATAGCCTCTTCCTCACTGATCTGTACCGGGACCGGAAACTCCTCAGTGCTGAAGGTAAGGAAAGGAGAGGGGTGTGAAGACAGGCATGCAGACTTCACTTGGGAAATCAAACCCATGCCAGAGCCTGGGGCCTGGGGCCTTCCCCAGCAGGCAGGAAACCATGGCTTCCTAAAGGGATTGACGGCATCTCTCCATAGGCCTATCTAGCCTGGCCGTCCACCAGCCAGCTCCCTAAAGATTTGGGTGCCGAAGCAGGGCAGGGACCAGAATCCTGCTCTCTGAGTGAGTCTCTGACCCCCAAAGGATTCCAGGAATCCAAGAAAAGAGCCGGGAGCAGAGAAGAGGCTGGGGCCAGAGCCAACAGCCACCGGCATTTCCTGTGTTGGGAAATGTGCTCCTTGCTGGTTCCCAGAGAACAGGCCCCCAGGCAGCCTGGGGTGGGAAGGGGGGCAGTGTGGATGAGGCAGTCTGGGCAGCAGAGCTGGTTGGGGTGGGCGGTTTGTCCTGACTGGGCAGGTCCTTGCCCTTGCCCTGGCCTCAGTTTCCCCCTTCTCCAGAGCGGATCATGCAAACGGTGGAGATCACTAAACACGCAGTGGACATAGAAGAGAAGGGTGTGAGGCTGCGGCTCACCATTGTGGACACACCGGGTTTTGGGGATGCAGTCAACAACACAGAGTGGTATGTCTGACCAAGCACGGCCCCAGCTGCCCGCTTCCCATTACACACACACACACACGCACATGCACACACACACACAGGCACAATCACAGGCACAGACGTAACCAAAATTCTCAGGAGGAAAGTTTGTGGCCTCGAGCACGCCACCGCCCCTTACTAGGCAGCTGTCTCCTCCTGTGAAATGAGAGGGAAAGGGTTGGAATAGATGCTCTTTAATGTCTTTTCTGACTCCGACCTATACTTCTATAATGGGGGCGAAGACGCAAGATAAGAAAGCATCAAAAAAGCAAACCCATGTGAAAACATGTAGCACAGGGCCTGACATCTAGTGGTTGCTCAATAAACACCCCCCTCCCTCCTTCCTTTTCTTTTACCAGCCACATTTTAGGTGCCACAGACCTCTTTTATTAAAGGGATGAGTGTGCCTTGAGGAAGGGGTGGAGGAGAAAGAAGAGGCGAAGGGGAGACAGATGGATTGAACTTTGTTTAAGCTCCAAGCACCCTCTAGGCTAGAAGAAAAGGTGGCTTTGCCACACATGCCATCATCCTTGGCTTTCTTTTTTCAGGAACTGGAAGGGATGCTTAGATAATGGCCAGACCCAAGTGAGTAGATGAGAAGCAGAATGAATGATGAAGACAGGAGAGGAGGTGGTGCCCTTGATGAAATCAGGCAAGGGGTGCTAAGATCACTAGACTGAGTTCAGACCTTGATTCAGCATTTAGTAATTGTGTGGGCTTGAGCAAATGACTGCATTCCTGTTTCTTTAGCTGAAACATACCGGCCCTTACCACCTTGCCCAGTTGATCTGAAAATCACCCTGAATGATGCATGTGAATGTGCATGAAAAACTAAAGAACTGTTTACATTACACTCATGGATTTTAAGATCATAATTGCAGCACCAGTGCTAAATAGAAGTGCGGGGCCCCTTGTTGAAAATGATGACGAATTTCAAGATGGCCACAGCAGAGAAGCAAACCAAGGGTGGGCCCTTCTGAGATCAGGGCCCTGCGTTGACTGCACAGGTGGCCCTACCAGAAAGCTGACCCTGGGTAATTGCCCCACAGACTCATCAGACCTTTACAGACCTTTCTGTGCTCTGGGTCCCCATGACATGCTTTATCATTACTGTATGTGATGTTTTGGCTTAGCACACGGATTCATCTTCAACTGCAGAGTCTTAGCCTTGAAGGGAGGGCCATTTCTTCTTATAGTCTTGCCCTGGCACTGTGCTGTCACATGGTATGTCATCTCCTGATGGAAATATTCCTGATGGATCGAGGTGGCCTCTGTGTCATCATCGCTAGGTATATGTCTCAGCACCTGGGGCTTGCCATGAAACTCTACCCCAACCAGCACCTGTTCCTACTGTAGCAAGTATCATCCCCTCCTTCAATCAGTCTACTTGCCTCCTCTTCCCTTCCCTAATAATAATAATTTCATTTGCTTGGCCTTTCACAGGCCATACACCTGCACATACACTTATTTAGTCAACCAGCAGGAATTTGTTGAGCATATACTAGGTGTCCAGCCAGTGCTGGGCATTTTAAGGGATACAGAACAAGTGTGAATCATCCTGGTCACTGAGAAGCTTATGGTCCTAGTAGGGGTGGGGGTGGGGAGTGGGGGGTGAGGGACAGCAGTTCACTCACATGTGTGTCAGTCAACTCAAGTTAGTAAATAGGTCAAGCAGTGTAGCAGCAAGCACGCTGAGGAGTCAGAAGGTCAAGGGCTTGTGTGGGTAGAGAATTTGCTCGCCAAAATGATCTGGATTGTCTCTTAGCTGCTGTAGATTTAGTTCCTTCCTGTATGAAATGAAAGTGACGGTGCTTATATGTCCACCTATTAGGGCGCTGTCAGTGAGGATGAAGCTAAATGACAGAAGAGCAAAAGACTTGAAAATTGGAGTTCTTGAATGTATATATATATATATATATATATATACATATAAAGGATTTCACTGTGTGGTGGAGAGAAGGGGAGAGCATTGTGTACACTGGAAGGAGTCTTCACGGAAGAGAGGGTTCTTAGCTATGGCCTTGAAGTATGGGGTGGGTTTAGAGAGGTGGAGGCGAGGGTAGAAGCACATGAACAAAGGTTTGGAGGCTGGACTATGAACCTGACCGTGAACGTGACCGAGGGCTTCCAGGTGGCGTTCACCTGCAGGCATCTTATTCTTATTGGTTTGTTTGGTCACCTTGGACTTTTCCTCTCCTCAAACTAGTATTTATTGAACTTTGCCTGTGTGCTTTGTCCGGTTTTCTAGTGGGACAGGCGAGATACACCCCTGTTGCCCCCAGGTACCTCCCTGAAGATGTGGGTGGGCAGCCAGGGAATAACAGAGCCTTGAGGATACTGTCCAGGGCGTGGGCTACTCTGTGGTCCCAGAGCTCATGAGGCAGCCCCCACTCCCACAGTTTCTCTGCTTGTCTGTCCCCTGCTCCAGCTGGAAGCCTGTGGCAGAATACATCGACCAGCAGTTTGAGCAGTATTTCCGAGACGAGAGTGGCCTGAACCGCAAGAACATCCAAGACAACAGGGTGCACTGCTGCCTGTACTTCATCTCACCCTTTGGCCACGGGTACGGTCCGAGCCTGAGGCTCCTGACCCTGCCAGGTGCTGCTAAGGGGGGCGGGGCCAGCTGCGCCAGGGGCAGGGCAGCTGCGAGCCCGGGCTCACACATTCCTGTTCCCCAGGCTCCGGCCACTGGATGTTGAATTCATGAAGGCCCTGCATCAGCGGGTCAACATTGTGCCTATCTTGGCCAAGGCGGACACGCTGACACCTCCTGAAGTGGAGCGCAAGAAACGCAAAGTGAGGGAAGCTGGTGGGGGGAGGGGAGCAGGTGGGCTTCTGGAAAGGATGGGGTCGCCAGAACTCTGGGCCCCTCATGTGTTTGCCAGATCCGAGAGGAGATTGAGCGCTTTGGAATCAAGGTCTATCAGTTCCCAGACTGCGACTCTGATGAGGACGAGGACTTCAAATTACAGGACCAAGCCCTGAAGGTGGGGCCACCCCAGGGCATCCCTTTTCCATCTTGTTTCTTCGGGGCAGAAGAGGGAAGCAGAATTCTTTTTAAGGGGTGGGAAAGGACCCTGGTTTCCTAGAGTGAAGCAGAGAAAATAAAGATATAGGTGGAAAGGAACAGGTGGGAGTGGGGCGTATTGACAGGCCCCCCCCCAACTTCTTCCAGGAAAGCATCCCATTTGCTGTAATTGGCAGCAACACTGTGGTAGAGGCCAGAGGGCGGCGAGTTCGGGGCCGGCTCTACCCCTGGGGCATCGTGGAAGGTAAAGCACTGAGCTTGTGACCAGGGCATCTCCTTGCCCTCAGCGGCTCTCCCCATGCTCCTGGCTGACCCCTAGCCTTGCTATGCAGTGGAAAACCCAGGACACTGCGACTTTGTGAAGCTGAGGACAATGCTGGTGCGTACTCACATGCAGGACCTGAAGGATGTGACGCGGGAGACACATTATGAGAACTACCGGGCACAGTGCATCCAGAGCATGACCCGCCTGGTGGTGAAAGAAAGGAATCGCAAGTATGGTCACAAGCCAGGACAGAGCTGGTGGGGGGCAGGGGGGGGCGGGGATCCCAAGCGCAGCCTTGGGTGAGAGCAAGCCCTTCCTTTGTTCTTCTACAGGCCCTGGGCTCAGTCCAAGCAGGTGCTGGGGTCCCCCTAGCCTTACCAAGCCCCTTTTCCCCTTCCCCTCAGCAAACTGACTCGAGAGAGTGGTACCGACTTCCCCATCCCTGCTGTCCCACCAGGGACAGATCCAGAAACAGAGAGGCTGATCCGAGAGAAAGATGAGGAGGTGAGAGCAGTATGGGGTGTAGGGATTGACAGCATGGAGGGTCTCTGCTTAATTATAAACCTCAGTATTTCTTGGTTTGGGAGTAGGAAGATCCCTGGCCCCGGTACCTATCTGGGTCCCGGACTGGTGGATTGATTGTTCTACCCAGGGTCTCCATCACACCTCTGGGCTACCATGGCCCTGGCTAAGGCATCAGAGCTTGGGGGCACTTCCTTAGCACTGTAGGACTCTAAAAGGCCCCATTTTGCTGTGTGTGCCTGTTCCAGCTGCGGCGGATGCAGGAGATGTTGCACAAAATCCAAAGACAGATGAAGGAGACCCATTAGCTGGCTTTCAATTCTGGATATTTAAATCTCCTCTTCGTCCTGCCCATGCCGGCCCCTCCCACCACCAGCTCTGCTCAGGCCCCTGCAGCTACTGCCACTTCGCCTTACATCCCTGCTGCCTCCCCAGAGACTCAGAGGAAATAAAGTTTAACAAATCTATAGCTGCCTTCTGGTGTCGCTGTCTGTATCTTTACCACCTCCTGGAGACCAAGAAGATCCTAGGACCCACTTTTGAAAGGGTGCTGAAGGAGGGTGCTGGTTTCTGGCTTTTAGTAGGAAAGAGGGAGTAGGGGAAACTTTCCTCTCCTGTGACAGTGTTCGGTCTCTGCCTAGAATCCAACCTGGCCTCTCCTTCGTACTGACCACATCTATCCCGCCTCTATTATCTGGGGCCTGTTGTACTGACCACATCTATCCTGCCTCTCTGATCTGGGGCCTGATCCTCTCTCCATCTTTTCCACATACAGTATTTTCAGTTCTATGGAAGCTTTGGATCTGGTATCTGCTCTTGGGAAAACATGGTATTACCTGCATGCAGCAGCCTCCTGACTTCCTATTTCCCCTGATTTGGGGAAAGGCGTATATACAGAATTAAGCTCTGCCCTCTAGGAACCCTGTAATAGAGCACTGAACAAATACTGAAACACTTTTGATCATCAAACACTACAGTAAGTGCTGGGAATGAGTAAAGTACAATCGTCCTGGAAGAGTTCAATATTCATGTAACAAATATTAAGCATCTGCTAAGTTGCAGGCACTGTTCTAGACCCTGGAGTTAAAGCAGTGAACACGGGCAAGGTTCCTGTTTTGCTGGAATTTACCAGCTGTAGTAAAAGTTCAAATGTTGTGTAAACAGAGACACGTGAAGACAATTTGGTCCCGGGGCCTGGTATGTAAAGCCTTCAGGCCAGCCCCCACAAGTGAAGTTATCGGTTGAGAGTCTGAATCAACGGATTCTCCATTTCTGCCGGGTTGGTGGTATCGCTTGGCCATGGCGACCTCCAGCGGCCACCCTCCGCCATGCTGCCTACTCTTGCTTCCCAGAGGGGAGAGAGGAAGGGAGGAGCAAAGAGCTGGGTGAGGCCTGTTCCCACTCTCTTTACAGACCAGGAGGTCGCCGCTAGCTAGTGGCAATCTGAGATCCAGATTTCCTATCTCTCAAGTGAGAGATCTTTACTCGGGACTGATGGCACCATGCAGGTCCTGAAGGACGGCACGGTCGGTTCGCTGATGCAAAGTAAGGGTCGGAGGAACCCGTCACGACGCAGAAGAGAGGAAACTCTCCCGCCTCCAGTCGGAGAAGACGGAAGACAGAGCCTCGCGCCCAGGCCTCCCTCCTCTCTTAGCCTGCGGGGTCTTTTCTCCCTTTCCGGGTTTGGGACGAGATGACCGCAGCGAAACCAAAACTGGAAACGGACAAACTAAGACGCCACCTGGGATCTATTTGAGAACTACACCCAAGGCGTGGTCGTCGCCGGAAGTGGCTGTAAGGCCTGTGCCCCTACAAGGCTCCGCCTCCAACTGCGCTACCAGTAGGCGACAGCCACCCCCACTTCCGGCCCCTGGAGCCTCCAGCGGCCCCCCTTTTACTGCTCTCTCATTGGCTGCCGCAGGGACGCGCTGTGATTTCCCATTGGCCGAGCCTCCTCTCCGGGGCCGTGCCTCCTCCCTCCAGGTACTGTCTTGTCTTCCGGCACCCGATAGGCTGAAGGCTGGGAGGGCGTCTGCCCTACTTGACCAATGAGCGGAGTGAGGAGTGAGGGCGGCGGCTGCGTGGTGGGGGCAGGGCGGGACTTGGTGTGGCTATTGGCCAGGGCGGGCACAGACCGGAGATACGATTGGTTGGGGAAAGAGGCTCCGTGGTGGGGTCGAAGCTGCGCGGCCTCGGCAGCTGGGGGAGACGGAAGTGGTGAGAGCGCGGCCTCGGAGGGTCGGGCGGACGCCGCCTGGGTGAGTCACCGTGCCCCGTGCATTGCCAGTCTGGGAACCGCAACAACCGCGTCTTGCCCCGCCCCGCCCCAGCCCCTCCGGCTTTCATGGGCCCCGCCCTCTGTCATTCGGGGCCCCGCCTCCGAATCTTTAGGCTCCGCCTCTAGAACCTGGACACCTGGGCTCTCCTGCCAGACTGGCCCGTCCCCCCTCCCCCCACCCCCCGGCCCGGGGCCAGATCCCCTTCGTCCGGGAGCCCTGGGCATCCCAGCCCTGGTCCTTGTCCCTCCTTACCTCCCTCCATTTCCCTGAGGCTGCGTGCCAGTGGGCGGTGAGGCAGCACCTCTGGCTTGCCTCTTGCTGGCTCCCCCGTGAGGACGGGTGGGCTGTGATCAGGGAGGCTGGCAGGACCACACATGGTGGTCCCCGCAGTCTTCCGCAGGGCACTGCTGGACTGCTCCTGAGCTCGGATAGCAGGCATGAAAGAAAGTGTCAGTAAAACCTGGGCCTCTCTCCCTAAGTGGGCCAAGGAGGCCCATTCTGAATTTCTGTTGCTTGGGCCCATTTGACAGGTACTGACTCTGAGGCCTGGGGTGGCCTGATTGTCCCTGTTCTGTGGCCTCCTCCCACAAACCTGCATCCCACTTGATGCCAAATACTTTCAGCAGGATCTATTCAGTCCTGCTGCCAGAAGGCATTCTGCTCACAGGTTGTGGTCCCCTCCCTCTTGTCCTCTGCTCTGGACTCTGCCCCCAGTAAACAGGTCAGGTGGGTGCTACTCCCAGACTTAGAGGCTGGCAGAACGTTCCTGTGGATTCATGTCCCTCCAGGGCCAGAAGTAAGTCCTGGTTGGGCAGCCTCTCTTTTCAGAGTAGACAGGTCTTTTGCTTTCCCAAAAAGAACAATGTTTGGAGTGTTCTTCTCTTTCTGGTCTGGGAATCAGGACTCTTGAGTTCTGCTGAATAATCTTGGATGACACTCATTCCTGCTCCAGAACTTTGTGGCCGACTCCATGCCCTGCAGAATCACTTGTTGCTTTCTCCCCACGTAGCTCACATTGCCTCTGTCTAGCACTGTTCTCCGGGGTTAGGTAAGGGGTTCTGTGGAGAGGCCGGATTCTCTGTGAAATTTGCTGTAGAGGTTAGGAGCAGATAGTGTGGCATTGGCTGATTCTAAGGTAATGTTAATGGTGCTCTTTAATCTTGTTTCTGTCTTTTTACAGTAAGAAGCAGACAGCCAGGACCCTCACCACAGTAGAATGGTGAGTATTCTCTTTTCTCAGACCATTGTGTTTTCTATAATCCTTGTTTTTCTCTGTGAAGCTGCCCTACCTCTCCTGGATCTTGAGCTCCATGCTACTCTGTTCAGCCTCTAAACAGGTTCATCTCTCCTGGAAATAAATTAGGGTTTCTTTAGATTGCAAAACACCAGCCAATATACAGCACTGGGACAGGAATCCTCTAGAAGTCTTTTCCTGCACATGCTATGTATGCCATGCCTTCCCTATACTACCGCTGGCTCTCTTAGCCTTTCATAATGGCCCTTCTCTTGCTTTTCTTGGGTCCCTGGTGGAAGCTCTCTGTTCTGGTCTGAAAAACCAGGCCTCCTTTATCTCAAGATCCTTGCATTTCCTAGTGGGCCCCTCGAATATTGTGGGTGCTGTATCAGGAGTGACTCCACCAAAACAGTGGGGCTTCTCCAGCTCTAAGATGCTGCTGTCTTTTAAGCTACTGCACTCCTAGCTGACTGGATATATAGCAGGAGAGCAGCCTCAAGGGGCCCGGAATACCACGGGGTTGCACAGGGAATGGGGGTGGGGGTGATAATGATCCTGTATACCTTCCATTAACTGGAAATGCCCTTCTCTCATCTCACGTTCAGGGAACCCCTTCCTAACCCCAGAGAACTCGGAGGAGGAGGCAGTGAGATGAAAAGAGAGCGGAGAGTTGCAGGCCCCGGCCCATACCAGGCCCTTGCTCTGGTTGTATCTTTTCAGTTTCTTCAAGTGTCCCCTGTGCAGGTTAAGGAATTCAGTTGGTGAGAGGACCTCTCCTTCCCTCTGCAGGCATGTGGGTATGTGGTTCTGGTCTCTTCCTAGAAAGCCTGCTGGTCTTGGTCCCCACCCACTGATAGCCCCCTTCCTTTTTTCTTCCGTGACTTTCCGAAAAGACCATGCGCTTCAGAGTTAGCCGAGGCTATTCTTGAATCCTAGCACCACCACTTAAATAGCTTAGGTAACTCGCATATTTTCTTTCTAAGCCTGACCTCTCACCAGCAAAACAGGTTAATTCTTGGAGAGTTGAAAGGTTTTAGTGAGATAATGTTTGAAACCTGTCTGGCTCATAGTAGATGCTTGATACAATGTCAGGTTTTCTCCTATTCCCCTTCCCCCCGCCCAAAGCAAAACCAAAGCCCTGGTTTCTGAAGGTTACCAGGCACAGGAAGTGTGGGGTTCTGACCAGCAACTTCTGTGATTCTTGATGACACTTTGAGCCTCACTGGTCCTTATTCCTTGGCCCTCTACCCAACTCCCTCCATACCCTACTCTTTGTTTTTGCATAGCTTTTGTGGTCTGTAGTTCCAGTCTTATCTTTCCCAGCCTAAAAAATTCTTCTCCAAGAAGGACTTTCTTATCCAGACTTCAGAGGATGTGAAACAAGGGAGAGATGGAGCTGAAGGAGTAGGGTTGGGCAGGGGCCATGGAATAAAAACACTTAGAGAACTTCCCTTTCAGGAGTGTGATGTGACCAACCTGGCATAGACCAGTGTCTGTTCTAAGGGGCAAAAAAAGGGAGTGCGATTTAGTGACGTCAGGGATTGGAGGACACTGGTGGACAGGGGTATGGTGGGTGGTGGTTTTAGGGAAAGGAGGAAGCCTTGAAACCGTAGGTGGGCTTTATCTTGGGAATTCGGGACAGGCACTGGGGGAACTCAGTGCGGAGGGCCTGGGAACAGAGTGTGAAGAGAGGTGTGTGAGCTGGCTCACCTGAGAATATGGGAAATGAAAAGATGTAGGAGGGCTTGCCTTACCCTCTCACGCGGTCTGGGGGCAGTCCCGCAGCCCCTACTGCGAAAACCCCCAGACGTCCCCGGAGGACGCCCTCGCACGCCGCCAAGGGGCCGCGAGGAGGGAGGAGCCTGGGGCCGTGGGCGGGGCCGCGAGGATCCGCCCCCCACGCCCCTCCTCGCGCGGCCCGGGGCGCTCCCCTAGTCCGGCTCCCCTCCCTTCCGCGCTC